AGTAAGATTATTTTATAAATTCACAGATGGTTTAAATTCTGTTCTTAAAGTGCAAAGGATCAAGTGTTATTGTGTAGTTTCGAGTTCCAGTGGAAGTTGAAATGTCCATAACCTCTTAAACTAATTCATTATTTATTGACTACTGATTGACATCTGACAAATTTTATTTCAAACATATTTTTATATAATCAATAAATAACGAGTTATTTAAGGAGCTCATTCTTATCAACTCACCCTGTATACACAAGTAATTCGCAGGCCAAAGTGACTAACTCCAATTTTCCAATTTCTTAAACTTCAACTGCAAAATATTCCATCGATATTTAACTTTTCATATCTAAAATAAATTTCTATCCTTTATTTCATGGAGTTAATCTATTTGACAAATGACAATCGTCTCGCATCAATTGTTACAGAAAATTTCGATACATCTTCGTCATCGAGGAATTATTCGCGTCCAAATATTCCATTCTAGATATCAATAGAAAAATTAACCCATTTGCATCATGGTTCTACTTAAGGTGCCGTGTTCAGGCATCAGCGATGTTCAACTGACGACTAGCCCGTATCACCGCGCGCGTATCAGCACCTACTCATATTTAAAAGGATTTTCACAACAAAAGTAAAACTTGTTAAGAATATAATGAACCGATGAGAGTAGATGAGATGCTGACAAAAGGGATCAAATCTGCGGCATATCAAGAATATTCGACAACCAGTAATGGAAAAAAGTCAGCTCGCGGATTATTCCGCGTTCGGTGATAGATGATCTTGTTAAGAATATAATGAACCGATGTAGATGAGATGCTGACAAAAGGGATCAAACGTGATCTGCGGCATATGAAGAATATTCGGCAACCAGTAATGGAAAAAAGTCAGCTCGCGGATTATTCCGCGTTCGGTGGTAGATGACAGTCGTGGCTCGCGGAATATTCCGCGCTCGGTGATAGACGACTGCCGTAGCTCGCGGAATATTCCGCGCTTGGATGCAAATGGGTTAAAAATAAAAACATTTGAACTTCTAATTCGTGACAACTTCAAGCCCCTCGATATTTAAAACCCGCTTTCAACATCGTACTTGCATCGTACAACGTTGAAACGAGTCGCGATGCATCGAGAACAAAGAGGTTCATCGTGTACCAAAAAGAAAAGACACAAGCGTACGATCGAAAGAAATCCGTGAGTAGCAATAATCGGTATCGCAGTATCGTCGACTGAACCACCAAACACCGTGTCGTATCTCTATCACCATCACCATCACCAACTCCTACATCTTTACGAGTCTCGAAAGTAAAAACACGCTTGCGATTAACGCGATCACAAATATTTACGCAACTACGAGTGGCGCCACCGTCGAGGACCGCCTTGCTCGCGAGACGCCAGAGGGCGTGCAGAGTCGCTAGACGAACGAAGGGAGACAGTAAACGTTCGACGAGCAGCGACTCGGGACAGGCGACGCGATCGTCAAAGGCCATCGGATAGCACACAAAAGTTCGTACTTTCGCCACCGTGAGGAGTCACTTTCATTTGTCAAGTTTCGCAACGGGCTTCTCTTCGAATTCCCCGCGTTTCGTCCGATCGAATCGTCCAGCGACCATTTCCCTTGTTCAGAGTGGACACGCGCGCCGGCGCCCAAGACACCAGCGACATCCTAGAGGGCCATCCTTAAAAATTAATCGTTGAGGCAGTTGCGTTGGCAAGAGCGAAAGAATCAGTCGTTTACGTTTTACGTCGACGTCGTCGCGTTGCTTTCACTTCCCAGTCATTCGATTATTATTATTGCATCGAGTGAACACTACTGCTTAAAAGTATCCGAACTCTTTTTACTCGGATAAAATGAAATTGAAATGTAAAATTGAGTGTACGATGTTAGAATCCTCTATGATTTCCTTCTGTACTGCTTTTATTGTCATTATTATAGTTATTTAGTAATGGAGTATCACAGATCGAAAATGAGAGTATTTCGAAGATATAAAGGATCATCGATAAAATATTGATTTTTATTTGGATGCGAGATAGTCATTATTAAATTGAAAAATATTCTTCAGAAAATACGGTAATTAAGAAATTATAATTTTTGTCATCTGTAATGATTATTGGTAATCGAATCGAATTTTAAATCATTTAAAGAAATATATAGTTATAATATTTTTCAGAAAATACGATGAATAAGAAAATTTTGGGCATTTATAATGATTATTGGTAATTGAACAAAATTGTAATCATATATAATGATTATTCGAATTTAAAATCATTTAAAGAAAAATATAATTATAATATTCGTCAGAAGATAAGGTGATTACAAAATTATAATTTTTGGTATGTATAACGATTATTGGTAATCGAACCAAATTACAATCATTTATAATGATTATTCGAATTCGAAATCATTTACAGAAAAATATAATTATAATATTCGTCAGAAAATACGGTGGTTAAAAAATTATAATATTTCGTATCTGTAATGATTATAGGTAATCGAACCAAATATCAATCATTTATAATGATCATTCGAATTCAAAATCATTTAAAGAAAAATATAAATATAATATTCTTCAGAAAATACGGTAATTAAAAAATTATAATATTTCGTATCTGTAATCGAACCAAATATCAATTATTTATAATGATGATTCGAATTATTATATTAATATCAATTATTTATAATGATGATTCGAGTTAGTATATTGTAATTTTTTTCACTTTGTCTATAATTGTTACGATCTCTGTAAAATATTATTTTAACAGTATTAATATTTAACGATAAGGTGTAAAACCTTAGATTAACTAGATTAAATAGAGGATCTTTAATCTCCAGATTTTAGAATTTCTGAATTACGGATTCGTCAAAGAAGATGATTAATCTATCAAACTGATCATTTATATTTAATTATTCGATTTAAATTTAGAATTCAATAATTACTTTTCCCGTTATTAATTTATAAATTTATGGACATTCGTGTCCAGATACTTATGAGCAGTAGTGTACCTTTTCCCAACCAAGACTCTCAGAATGTTTCTCATGTATCATCCTTGTATGTTTCCACCTTTGCAATGACACTTGCACGTTAACTCCTGAGACTCTAAAACAGATCTAGTCAAATCGATAAATTTTTATTTATAGAGATATGTTAAAAAAACCTGTGAATTAATTTTCGTTAAAAATTCATTTTTAACTGTTACAGTTTTCAGAATCTCTACCACCCTTTATCCAAAATGGTAAATACCATTTTCTCCTAAAATTTTAAGCACCTTCACACTTTTAACGTGATCGAAAAAGATCATGCCTCGCAAAGCTGTTGCATAATTAAACTCCATCATACAAGAGACTTTATTTTATGCGTAAAGACAGACAGACAGATAGTCATTTGATTCTATTCACAAAGAAATATCGTTCAAAGTCTGTCCTTCGTGCGATATACTTCAATTTTCCCATAATAGGCCGAAGAATAAACTTTAACTTTGTATTCTTTATAATTTCAACCTCTCTGACGAAAGAGTCGATCGCGAAGCCAGTGGAGGATCGCTGTGACCTTTTCCAGACCTTAGCAACGACGGAGTGACGACCAACTAAAGATTACTATCCATGCTTAACGAGTCTAAGCAGTTTGCTTATTCGCGAAACCCGGTGTATCGTGCATCTATCAGAATCGTGTCCTTACCGCACGATGACATTGAATTCTCAATCTCATGCAATGTACCATCGACAGTGATACCCCGACGACAATGAATCACGAACGTGTAATGCAAGACACCTCGATTTACCAGCTGAGATACTCCTCTTATCTGCGATACTCGCATAAAGTGCTCCACATTTGCACAATATCGTTAAGTGTACTTCCCACTTTAATTCCACGTTCTGGCACTCGTGATTCATGTCCCTCCTACAGATGGATTTTCAACTAGCGAATTAAAAGGTGAAAAAGGTAGAGGTACGTTACATGAGATATTCGTTCGACAACTGAAACCTGCTCTTATAATTTTCTTAATGCCTATTTGATTTATTCCCCAATTATTTCCTCAGTTTCAGTATGAGTTATCAATTACTGTCTCGTTGTTACCTGATACATTCCAAGATACTTTATTATTAACACTTTGACTGCCACGTTGGGCATATATGATCGGCCACGGTTTCTCCTGTGACGCACAGTGGTCATTGGTGACCGCAGCGCTCGAACTACATTGAACTACATTGAATGAAAATTGACAGTCAGTGCATTTTGTATGTAACCACTAATTAGAAGATACTTTGAAATCCAAAGTGACTAATAAAAATTGAACGATTAAAATTCCTTATTAGAATATCGAAAACATATTAGAGCAAATTTTGCATCTAGAGGTGCACTCCCGCGGCAAACACGTCCCGAGGGAAGCACGTGGTTTGGCAGTCAAAGGGTTAAGATAGGAGTTCAAGGTAATGCTTAACACTAGAACTACCAACCCAGTCAGAATAACTGGTCCCAGAATTTTCCTTTCTGCAATCACCGAACACACACATTTGCTTTAACCACTTGCGATGGAAAGACGTGCCACGCACGTCGAGATGCTTCTGTTACCGGGACACCAGCAACGTGTTGCACGCGTCGTCAGGCGATTGTTGCAGAAAGAAAAATGACGTGCGTGGCAAAAGTGATTTGCACTCGACTGTTCGCACGCGCAACCGTGAATTTCTTTACATCGCAAGTGGTTTAGAATAAAATTGGTATCAACTCATATTAACAAAGAACTGTAATCGATATATTCACTCACAATTCGTCGTACCGCTGAAATGACTATAATCTGTGCACGCTACAGTTAGGTACCCCTTAAAGATCGGTAGTTCTAGCGTTAAAAGCATCACACTGTACGTTTATAGTACCCAGATTCAGTGTCTCGAGTGAGAGAAACATTTTAACCCTGACACCCTATAAGATCTCTAAATATCTAGCTCTGGACAGTCGCAAGAGGTCAGCAGGATCCTTAAAATTCTTAAAACTACATTCTGAGGCAGTTAGGTTGGGAAATATCAGTCATATTGCTTCATCTAACCAGCAGCGAACAAAGCCACGCGACCAGTCGACTCGCCTGCACACAGTTCTGTTCATCGTTTCATCCCCTGGCTCCCTCACAGAGCCAGGAATTTCATGAGTGCGTCGTAAATGAGTCGAGGATTGATGGTACCGTCCGCGGTATACCTGACACCTCTCAAGGAACCGTCATCGTGGCTCACTACTCCGTACTCGCCAACTATGAAGCCGTCAGGAGTTCTCTCCTCGACCCTGTATTTCCTGTAGTTCCTGCCCTCGACCACGTAGCCCACCTTGTGACCATCCTCCACTTCAGACGCGTTCGAGGGCTCCGTGAGCATCATTTGTGGTCCGTGAACGTTGCCATTGCTACTCACGCTGACAGACTCATCCACCTCGTAGTTCTGCTCATCAGGTTCTCCGCTACGTTCGTGACTCAATGGCTGACCCTCCGAGTCGTAAAGCTTGCTAGGTTCGCTGTACACCTTGGCAGGTTGCGAGTAGACCTTGGCTGGCTCAGAGTACACCTTGGCTGGTTCACCGTAGACTTTCGATGGCTCCGAGTACACCTTTTCCGGTTCACCGTAGACCTTGGCTGGCTCGCTGTACACCTTGGCAGGCTCGCTGTACACTTTCGCCGGCTCGCTGTAAACCTTGGCTGGCTCGCTGTACACCTTAGCTGGCTCTCCGTACACCTTCTCGGGTTCACTGTACACTTTGGCTGGTTCGCTGTACAACTTGGCCGGCTCGCTGTAGGGTCGCGGTGACTTGTAGTTCTTCGACGACTGACTGTACATCTTGGTACCCGGGCGATTGTAATGAGAAGCGTCGAAATGTCTGCCAGCCTTTCTTCCTTGAGCCTGGAAACGCTCGGATTGCATCTCCATTGGCTCCTCGCTGAACTCCTTCGGCTCTGCGTTCTCCTCAGGCAGCTCGTAGTTCTCCTCAGTGGGCAGAGTGATCATGTCCCCTGGCGAGTCACTGGTGCTACTGTTGGTGTCTTTCCGATGCTCAGCGAAGGAAGGAGTGTGCTTGGTCACTGGTCTAGGTGTAACGGAGCTTTGACCCTGCCAACTGGTGCTCGGTGAGCCTTCGTCGACGGAGAATTCGCTTCTGTTGGATTCGGATACGATATTACTGAGCTCCTCCGTGATGAAGCTAGGTGGTAGCGGTGTAGTCGGTGATTTGGCTGTACTCGTGGTGGTTGTCGTACTAGTGGTAGTCGATGTCGTTCTCGCAGTCGTGCTGGGACTCATGGTCTTCGTCGTGGGAGCCCTTGTAGTGCCATTCTTCAGCTCTTTCATGGTATCCTTAGACGGGATCCCGATAGAACTTGGAGGTCTAGAAACGACAGTGGCGTCTGCGTTGTCGTAATGTTCTACCCTGACCTTATACGGTGTAGCTTCCACAGTGGACGTCACGCTGACGCCTATAACCTTCTGTCGGCTGACTCCTTTGTTCGTCGAATTGCTGGTAGCGTTTGTTCTCGACGAGGATTTTTCCCGAGCCGTCGTCGACGTTACCGTCGTCGTGCTGATGGGACTCTGGGGAGCTAGTCGCGTCGAGGATATGTCACCTGTGGTGCTCAGCTCGTCGATCAACGACGCTAGGTTCTGTTGCCTGTTCTCCAACGTCTTGTGGCTGATAGGATAAAATCGAACGACCTCTTCCCGGCCACTGGTGTTCCGTGCTCTCGGGACGACCTGTCTGTTGCCTGGGTTCCGTGATATTCGGTAAATCGACGCCTCGTGCTGATGCGATTCCGCTGTCGCGCTGTCACCGGCTGATGATGCCGTTTGTCCACCGCGTCTGAAGCCTCTGCGCCGCGGCGGCGTGGCCATGGCGCCGTTTATGAAGACTGACAGGAATTCCGTGCCCGCGAGTATGTCGTTTTTCTTCGCTGGAGCACCGTGTACTTCGTCCCACACCAGTGCCGCCTGCAGCAGTACCTGCAAAATGTTTCGTCGTTCAGTGGAATGCGGAAAGTATTCGAAACGTGGAATCGCGGCAGCGATTAAGGATAACGCAAAGATGGCTCTTAAAGTATCGTTATATTTCGCTTTATTGTTTACTGTTACGTTTCACCTGCCATTTTGGATTACGCTATCCACGTGATTTGCATATTTCTTAAACGTCGATATCAAATTTGAATATATGTTTCAATTTATAGTGAATTCTTTACATTCCTAACGTGCAAACTTGTTCGAGCTGTTGCCATAAGACGGTTAACGTAATTCCCAGTTTCCCAATGTAGATCTACGTAACACGAATTTTTATTTTCTCTGAATGATTTCATCGGCAGATTTCGGGGTCGATTTGGCAGTATCGCAGGTATTTTGGCGCCAATATTTTCGCATTAAAGGATTAAGAATGCCGGGAATATACGAAGGTCTTTACTTTCGAGAATGACCAACCGAGTTGTACGAAGTCAAGCGCTATCTGCGTTACACGTAAGACTCGTGAAATCAGAAACACGGAGAACCGTTGGAACAAAAGCGCGTTATCTCCGGGCCGAGATACACATCGTGGGCCTAACGTGGCGTCTGGAGTGTTTGTAATGTGGAAAGTGTAAAAGTTGGACGAATTGTTGCAGGCCCATTAAAGCCACGTGGAATCGGTGAACAAGTTCGTAAGTACTTTACGATCCGAGGACGCGCGGAGCTTGTCGGGCCGGCGTTTATTTTTCAATTCGCGCGCGAACGATAAAGCGCCATCGTGTCCGGCCGTACTCGACACACGAAGGTCACGCCAGGTGCATCCGAGCAATTTATAAATTACGTTATGGCCGCTGTAAAGTACGCGAACGGGCGCAGCTTATTACGCCGGGATGCTTTAACTCGTGTTTCATAGCTGTCACCTTGTTATCTTCCGAAACATCTCATTTCCTAGCGTATTTAAAACTCGCGGCCTTCGCCGCCCGCTAGGGACCTGCGCAGCTCGCCTGCGCATTGGACTCCCCCACTAGAACGCAACGCGACGCGACAATCTTCGATTTATTCGAATATTAGGTTAGGTTAAGGGATGCTAGAGAAGATTTTAAACGTTCTGATGGAAGTTAGTATAGATAGATTCAATTTCTATTCTCTTTTACCAACTATGAAACAGAAGTATTCATATTGTTTGTAATTGAAGATGGATTTTTCATTTTGTTAGGTTATGTTCTTATAATACGACGAGTAAAGGTATAATATGATAATTGGAAATGATTGCGGTTTGAATTTATAATGAAATACTGGATTACATAACCTGTATTCAGTGTCATAGTATTTGTTTAGATTTTTCATTAGATTTTTCCTTTTTGTTAGGTTATGTTCTTATAATACGATGAGTAAAGGTACAATCTGATAATTGGAAATGATTGCAGTTTGAATTTGTAATGAAATACTGGATTACATAACCTGTATTCAGTGTTATAGTATTTGTTTAGATTTTTCATTTTGTTGGGTTATGTTCTTATAATATGATGAGTATGATAATTAGAAATGATTGCAGTTTGAATTTGTAATGAAATACTGGATTACATAACCTGTATTCAGTGTTATAGTATTTGTTCAGATTTTCCATTAGCTTTTTCATTTTGTTAGGTTATGTTTTTATAATACGATGAGTAAAGGTATGATATGATAATCAGAAATGATTGAAGTTTGAATTTGTAATGAAATACTGGATTACATAACCTGTATTTAGTGTCATAGTATTTATTAAACTTCTCCATGTAATAACTATACTGTGGTTGTAGAAAAGATGAGGAAATTTAAGAAATATTTATTGGAAAATTATAAATTATTATTGTTATATTAATTAACACGAAATTCTTGGTTTCCTTGTGACATAATATGATCGTGCTTGCATAATAATTAATTACTGAATTATACAAAGTTTAATAGTGCAATTTGTAGTAACGAAATAATAAATCACAGCATAAGTAACGATGATTAATCTTCTTGTTGCTTAAGTGTAAATGCTATTTGCATTTGAAATAAGTGCTAAATAGAACAGGTTAATGTAACTCCAGTAATTCTTCCTGATACTGGAATCAGAAACACGAGAATCACGTACGTGCAACAGGTGTGAATGTAATTAAAGGCGATGTAAAACCATTGAATGTCTCGGTCAATATTCGCGTATTTAAACGTAAATTAAGATAATTCAGTACCTGCGTCAGTTTAACTTTGACCATGGAGTTTCAAAGGACATCTTTCACCGGATATGCATTTGTAAAAACACAGTCGTAACATGAAATTACCGGTTTTGTTTTTGTTGTGGAACTTAAATTACACACGCAGTGATATATACAGAGTAGTATACCTCTGACATCTTATGAGTCCTTCAAATTTTTTTCAATTCAGAAGTATGATCCATTGTGGATCCTTCAAATAATATGAAGATAAAGATCCCAGCTCTGATAAGAATTGCGGAAGTAATTATTGTAGCGAAGGAGGAAAATATTGGAATATCGAATTTTTGCCTCAAAATTTTCACGTGTCTCGAAACTTTATTTCAGTATTGAACTTTCGTTCCAAAATTTAGGATACTTCGAATACCTACTCGAATCTCAAATTTTCACTCGATAATTTTGAAATTTTATATAGAAGCTTTCGAATATTTACACGAGTGTCGAATTTTTATTCGAAAATTTCTAAATACTTCGGATTTTTATTCGAGCATCGAATTTTTATTAAAAAATTTCTGAATACTTCGAATATTTATTCTAGTAAAAACATTTTCATTCGGAAATCTTTGAATACTCTGATTATTTTTTCCAGTATCAAAATTCGGAAATCTTTGAATACTTTGACTATTTATTTCACTAGCGAATTAATATTCAATAATTTCTGAATATTTCGAATTTTTACTCGGAGATCTTTGAATACTTCGACTATTTATTCCACTAGCGAATTATTATTAAAAATTTTTTGAATATTTCGAAATTTTATTCGGATATCTTTGAATACTTTGACTATTTATTCCAGTAGCGAATCATTATTCAAAATTTTCTGAATATTTCGAATATTTATTCAGAAATCTTTGAATACTTTGTCTATTTATTCCACTAGCGAATTTTTATTAAAAAATTATCCAATACCCCAAATATTAATCCCAATACCGAATTTCTTTTAAAAAATTCTCAAACTTCTGAAAAATGATTTCGAGTATCCCCTAATTTTGACAATCTCCACCAAACACTGTCACTCAACCTGACAATAACCTCCGTACCCCACTTCCTAACCAATCAACCGAATCAACAATTCAAAGCAAACAAACAAGCCGGTGGAATGTCAACAAAGAACGAAGTACACAAGACAAGCAGTATGACATTAAAATCCGCAGCAATATTGACACACGAGAATCGTTGATTGCAGGTCTCGGGACCCCTTTGAAGTTCTTGATTGTCTTTAAGAAGTCGTAAACGAAGGCAAAGGAGCGCGACCGGTCGCTGGACGATTCTTTCGTCAAGGTTCGTCGTGGAGACCGGTACTGTACGCTACCAAGCGGTAAAAGCTCCGTTAAAATTCACGAAATTCGTCGCACAATCAGCCAGTACCACGAACGCACGAGTCGTGCGCTTTCTACGGGCATAAAGTCTTAATTTATATCGTTATTACACGAAGACGAACGGAAGGAACGGGACAGAGGGCGGGAGAAGCGTAAAAATATTTATCCGCGGCACAAAAGACCGAGATACCCGGTCGTTAATAATTTAAAGAGGTCGAGACCTCCTCGTCCCCGGCTTTGCCCGTTTCGCTTTCGATCCGCCGTAAAACGCTCTGAATTGAATTTTTGCAATCCCGCGGAAGGTCATCAGCGCTCGTTGCGTCAGCACGAACAAACGATTCGAAACGGTATTAAGTACGATCGCGATCGACCGATTCGTAAGAGATGTTCTGGGTCGAGAGAGGAGAGAAAAGAAGCGAAAAAGAAAATAAAGAGGAAAAAGAGGGAAAAAGAAAATACGTATCGTCTGGGATCTTCGAGGCTTGGTCAAACGTCTCTCGTGTTTTTGGATACCACGAGATCCTATCGGGAACATAAATATAATTTTCGTCGTAAATTTTCATCCGGTACTCGCAATTTTATTTTGTAGAGTGAACGTTATAGTGGTTGTTTGGTGTCATGCGGTTTTGCAGCGGTTAAACGATGGTGGTGTATCCTGGGAAAGGATATGCGGCGAGGTGGTGTATCTATAGGAGAGTGATGTATTTATAAACGTGAAATGTTTTATTGGAATGTTATAATATAACAATTATGAAATAACAATGTGTAGGTTTTTCGTTTTGAGTAATGTTTATTTCATTTTTATTTCAAAGTGTTACCCATTCTTATGGTATTATTGTTGTTATTATTCATTAAATTAATCTTCATTTGACAAGGTTTACCGATCTGTACTGTGTACCTAAATATACTATACATATATTACAATAACTAGAATAATATAATACAAATAAATAAGTATGTTATAAATATATGAAATGCCTACTTAATGTTTGAATATACCTATTTATTAACAGATCTTTATTAATATAAATATAATTAATATTAATGAAGATATATTAATATATATTAATTTATTTTTATTAATATATATATTAATATATCTATTTAATATTTTAATAAATAGGTTTATATAACAATATTTCTATCTCTATGAAAGAAATTAATTTCTTTCATAGAGATAGAAATATTGTTATATAAACCTATTTATTAAAATATTAAATAGATATATTAATATATATATTAATATATCTATTTAATATTTTAATAAATAGGTTTATATAACAATATTTCTATCTCTATGAAAGAAATTAATTTCTTTCGTCTAAAGTTAGCTGCATTGATAGTAAAAATAAAAAGTTTGAAGTCAGCCATTTTGACTGACCTGGTAGTTCTAGTTTGAGGATTGACATTTATGAGAAATAGTATCAGCTACATTGTAAATTTCTTTCAATCCTGTTTCTATTAATACATGACAAGTATTAATGAGTACAGGTACAAATCCAGTGTTTTCATATCTTTTGATCTAGGGGGCTATAGAGTCGGTTAGGTATAATATGTGCATACATATTTAATTTCATACTGTATCAAAAAATCAAC